TTATGTACACAAATTAAAAGGGCTTCAAGGATCAACTTTAGCCAGAGAGAGAAACACTTTATTTTCATAAAATATAAAATATAAAAGATTGCTGCCCAATTATATTGGGTTGCTATATACACAGCATACTCTTCTATCCTTAGAACAATAAATGAACTTATATATAAATATACAGAAGTACTAGTTAATATTAGTAAAATATATATATATACATTTTTTTTTCTTACGTTAGATATAATTAAAAACCTTACAGCCGTTTAGGCGATACAGTTTATAGTGACACATATTTTTCGGACGTCTTTCCGAAACGAGGCCGCAGTGTAATTAAATTAATATAAAAACACAACTGAATCCGATAGAAACATTATGTCAATATTTCAAAGCAATCGGTAAAGAAGTTACGAATTTTAGCGGTGAACAGACGAATGTTCACGTTTTTTATTAATTTAGATATAGCCATAATTAAGCTTTAGATAAATGCTTAATTATGGCTAACCATCACAATTAGTAAAATTATAAATTAAAGTTTCATGTAATTGTTAGTAATTTCACGTTCAATGCATACAGTTTTTATTTCCACAAAGTTCCTATAACCATCTGCATTTTAAAAGCAAATACAAATAATATGAAACTTGTGTACTGTAATTTGATGGATTTTTTTTTTTAATTTTTGAATGCTTAAGAAAAGAAGGTAAGGAGAGAATATTTGAGAACGAAAAAAGAAAAGTAACGAAGAAAATGTAAGAATCACTTTTTTAACATCACCTATTGATTAAATTAAAAAGTGACTGGCGAAGAATAAGGAGGAAGCCCAAAATTAAAAACAAAGATATATTAGACATGATCTTTTGGATGAATGAACTGAGGCTGTGAATGCTGAGCGTCTTAAAGTATATACTATAAAACTCTTGAGTCTACCGACGCTGGTTCGAACCCGGCCAAGGTGAATTGAAATTCATTTAGTCGTGGATCTTTGGAAGAAAAGTCAACCTTTTCACTCTGGTTAGAATAGGTGTGGTTGTACTTGTGACCGCCAATTTTATTTTTAAATTAAGGTAGAAAGTTAGGAAAAGTAATGTAAAAACCGTATACTAACGGTTTTTCATTTTTTCCATAGAGCTAATACAGTCAGTATCACGTTCTTAATCAGTGTATTTCCTGAGAATAAACGTGAGATTTTCGGAGCCAAGGTAACAGATGAACCGAACGGTATATGTAATTTTCTAGTACTAAGAGTTCACAGAAGAATAACTGTAAAAATCCGAAAGTACTTCGAGGGTTACGAAACAAGAATATACCGTGATAATATTCAGGAGTCCTTCATTATAAGTATGCTCCCACAGCCATCGCATGTTGGGAATATTGAAGAAAATTAGAAGTTTATATTTTATAGATTTAAATATGTAAAACCAAGCAGGCAGGATAAAATAAAAAAGGTGGTTTGTTACATATTTTGTTTTTGAAATACATTCAAACGGAGATGTTGAAAAATGGAAATGGTTAAACTAAAAAAAAAAAATCTGATTCTTTTTGGATTCCCGGATACGGCGGGTCACCTACTCTGGAAATGGTGATTCGCTGGATCTCACGACCTGTACCTTAGAATCCTGAGGTCAGCACTGGTAGCTCCCAGGGTTATTATAAGGAAATGCTTTTCCTCACTTCACAGTCCATGGTACTACATCATCCAAAGATTAAAAATCTTTAAAAATCTTAAAAAGCGTTTGCATTACCAACGCGTTGCCTGATAACCTGAAGGTACCGAGTTCGAATCCCGTCGACGGAATCTTTTAACTCTGACATTAATCCCCTGGACGGAGAAAAAAAAAAAGTATAGCCGAAAAGTCGAGATAAAGGAGAATAGAGAGAAAAAAAAAGCAATTAGATAAAACTAACTACTTTATACTGTTGGTACCTCCGTTTAAATTTGTAGAAAATCGTTGATAAAGGATCGTTATGAGTTAGATAACTGCTGATCCACAGAATGAATCCCGACCTTCTGATGGAAAAAAAAGCTGTTGGTAGGTAGAGTTCAGTATGTAAAGTTCAATAAATCACGTATCAGAGTGCTTTTGTTATGATTTATGATAATTTTGATTGGATAAAGTAGTTTGAGAGTTGAGCTAAGGATCTTTTCTTTGATATTAACGAATCCAAGATGTATGTCTAAGGACTGGATTGTCAATATAAACCTGGAGACCAATTTTTAAGAGATTTTCGACAAATAAAAATCATAGGGAATAACTCTACAAACTAGAATTTCCACAAAAACTTAACATAAACATAAAAATTCTATGTTCTACACAAGAACATGTTGAGTATTTTGATTTATTATTATTGTGAGGGATATAATTTTTGTTTTTAAAAGACTAATAAAGTCTGTTCAAAAACTGCGCTTCTATCAGTTAAAAAAAAAAAAAAAAAATAAAAAAATTCCATTGGTCACAGAAGTTCTGCAAGGTCATCCCAAATTCATGCTTTCGAAATGTCACACAAAAACATCCACATTCCTAAATCGGAATAAAAATTACTTAAAAAAACAAGATATAATATATTGGAGATTCAGTGACTATTTTACTATATTATAATATCTATCTGATATAATAAATTTCTTCTGTATTTTACAAAGCAACAATAAAACAAATCCAAAATAAAATTTTAATAACTTGGAGTGTTGAAATTGAAAAAAAAAAAAAAAGTAAAATTTGCCTCTAATAAGATTGAAAACATAAGGAAAATTATTGATTTTTTTTTTTACACAGAAGGTTCTGTAAAAATGTTTCATTGTCGCGGCGCCATGCTATAAGAATGCCAGCAGTAAATATTTACCGAAAGCTCTATCATCAAAACATGCACGCTTATAAATAGATACGGTTACACCTCAGCCATAAGTTGTGAATTCCTAAATATACAAGTAACTAATAAATTGTATCTTTATCAATAAACAATCGTATTTATTGATCGAATGCTGGTTTCAATTTACGTCTTATGTAATACTTAGTATTATCTTTTGTATTCTTCGTAATTTTTCTCCCAATTAATCGGAAATTATAATTTTTTTATGTTATTTATATCAATCCATCATGAATTAATTGTGCAATATTATTTGTCTATATTAATTAAATTGTTGTTATTTTTCTCCAATTAATTTAACATTTTTCTGCAATAGTTAAGTATACTTGTATTGCTTGTAATTTACACTAATGATAATTAGTTTTCTTTCGATAACAGATTTAATCGTGTATATATTTTAACTTTTGAGATTTCCTAATACTATTAAATTGTATAAATTTTTTTTATTTTTAAATGTTTATACTTTGCAACCATAAAATATCATTAAAATATTTTTAATGAAAAATCAATATTATTTTTTAATTGGAAAAGTTGAAGCTGCGATGTATAGAATAGATTTCATTTTATGTCATCTCAGAAAATCTGTCTAAAGATTGCCAAGATTAATTTCAATCTACAAAGAATAGACTTTTTCTCCTAAAGTAAAATTGTTGTAGATGTAAATGACTTAATTTTTCAACGATATATATAATATGTAACTTTTGAAGTAAAACAATTGAATGCAATCAAAACCTATCAACTTCATTATGGAAAATTTTAATTTTAGAAAGAAGAGTTTAAAAAATATATAAAATAATGCAGACTTAGCTTTGCTAGTTTTTGGTTTATAATAGGTTTATAATATATATTTATGTATACATTTATATATATATATATATATATATATATATATATATATATATATATATTATATATATATATATATATATATATATATATATATATATATATAGTTCTCTTTTTATGTAAAGAATCTCGTAGTTTTTATTGAGAGGTCGAGTTACCAGATTTTCATTGTCTAACATCGATACGTGAGAAGAAAAAGTTGAACCAGATATATCATTTTCTAGTTATATTGTCAATATATTTTACTAAATAAAAGAGGCGATTATCAATCCATAAACCAACGTTACAATATCAAGACGCAAGAGCTATTTTGTCACTATAAAAACAATACTAATTATAATAAAAAAGAAAGTACAATTTTAAGTTTGTTTTTATTTCTGTGTACTTGGGCTTGATTCTTTTACAAAATGTGAATTAAAATACCAAAGGAGGTCACACTAGCAACATAACTATGTATTAAGACGCTGCTGAAATGATCACAACTTTCGTTAAATCTAATAAAGAAAACAGAAAAAAATAACCAAGTTCGCATCTCAGGTTTGTTATTATGAGTATATAATTCATAAAAATAATTACTAACAAATGAATAAGAAACGGAAGTAATAACCTTTTCCACGAGGACTGAATACGCCAATAAACATCGATGACTATGCACTACCTAGCAAAGCGGAAGCCAGTTATGTCAGGAAATGTATGATATAACTAGGCAATATAATTTTATTAACAATTATATCTACGATAAAAGCACCACAAACATCAGTTTTTTTTCTCTTTTAGTATATGGTTAAGATTGTTGAATGTGTAGGCTCACGCAGAAGCTGAAATTCAGTAAATCTAATTATTTCAATAGATATATTGAAATAAATTATAAGCCAAATAATGAAAATCGAGTTTAAAAACCTGTTATTATTATAAAATTAAGAAAATAATATATAATAAAAGTATAATTTTGATACATAAACTATATATTTCTATGACTTATAAATATCAGAATCGACTCCAGGCATCTGTTTTGTTCAGATATGTTATCTTGTCAAAATTTTTCAAATGAAATGCTTATTTCCTGCCAAATAAATCTTACCGTTTTGACACATGTAATCTTACTACAATGACTATCATTCTTAAGAAGAAACAAAACTAAGATAATGTAGCCCAAAACATGATATGATTGATGGTTTTATTTAAGAGACATTCGCACAAAATAATATAATGGTTATTTCAGGATTATAAAATATGATAAATAACAAAGGATGATAAATACCATACAAATAAATTAATTAAAAATAAATAAAAAAGCCTACCTGGAACCTCAAGGTCTGCTCAAATGGTGGTATAATCTGCTTGAGGTTGATCTTGTTAGATGGATTCTGAAGTGATTGGTTCTTTGGCACAATATGCACAATCCAAGTATCTAAAGCACCTGAAAAAAAATGAAAAATGAGAATCAGAATAAATTGTAAAAAATATATATAGTCAATAATAATAATATTATTATTATTATCAGAATATACTAATTTCATATACACTATATTCAAAAATTATTATCATTATTAGATGGCGTTACGACCCACTTATTGCGTCAAAGATCGCCATTCCTCTCTGTTTCCTGTCGCTAACTTCCAGTTCCGGATACCAACTAGGGACCTTTCGTCTGTAGCCACTCTCTCTATTTAGAATTAGTAATCGTATTTCGGGTATCATCAGGACGGAAATATTTAAACATATTGGGTTTCTGCTGAGATGTTTAGTACTGTGCTGTCTTTACATCATGGGTCTTTTTTTGGCGGTCGATGTGAGAAGCGCTGATTGAATAAAAGGGATGGAGTCTTTTTTTTTGCATTGGTAAAACGTTGAAAGAATTCTCTGTAAAACTAATAGGTGAGATGTCTTTCAAATACTGGAAATAAGTCAAAGCTTTATTCTATTTATTTATTTTTGGCAGAGAAAAAGAAATCTGCAGGTCTAGATAGGTTTCAGAATTTTCTTATAGATTAGTGATTTGTAATCAAATTGAAATAAATGAAATATCGTCGGTTCAATATGCATAATATTTTTGAATAAATTTATAGAGTAAATTGTGTAATATAAAAATAAACATTGTATAACATAATATAAATTGTAGACGGTGGCGTTATCCAATCATATTGGAAACAAAATATAATGAATTAAGTAGAAGCAGACGACCAAGCATCGTAGCATCTTTATCGAAACCCGGATTTATCAAGCCACTTATTTATTTATTTATGCGATACGACATTATTGTTTTATATAATATTATAATTGTATATACGATAGTGTAATATCAAGTAAAAACAATATTACTCACCTCAGTACTTGAATTTATTAATTAAGATTAAACAATCAATTACTGCAAGTGTTCGTGAGGCAATCGCAGAAGTAATACGAGTGACTAAGGAAAGAATAAACATTAAATAAAGGAATTCTAAAATTGCCACAATAGAATACTGAGAATAAAACTTATAGCTATGATTTAATGATTTAGCCACCCCGGACCATCTCTTCCTTAAAAATATTCATTACTATAACTTTGAAGGGCACATATAAGAGAATAGAAAATTATAAACGCGCAGAATATAAAATATATTTATAGGCGATATTAAAATATGTATTTGTTCAAAAGAGATTTTTTATTTATTCAGGAACGGGATATAATAGCCTCAAAAGAATAAATAAACAAGTTTGAAATCCTAACGAAAGCCTGTAGAATCTCAAAGAAACCATAAATTTCGTAATATTAGTTCCGGGCAGGCTTTTATGGGAAGACCGAGAAAGAAGCGGGCAGGAAATTCTAAAGTAGACTAAAATACGCAGTTAAAATCATCTCCAAAACAAATACCTAAAATGGCATAAAACATGGGCTGCCTATTCGCTAAAAAGGCAGGCAGACTCAGTTGATCATGAAACAATGAGAAGTTTCTCAAGGTTTTTGAAGAATGATAATTGAATATGATAAAGACACATAAAAAAACGATTATTAGATAAAGTAATTAAGTTAAAAATTAACGTTAAAAAAAAAAAGCCTGAATCCATACAAAAAAACAAATTCTGTTCATTCTAAAAGCGTTTATTTCTTGTTAGTGGATTATTTGTTGGTGACGAACGGTTATTCAGAATGTGATGCGGTCAGCTATAAGTTACATCATAATCCCCTGAAGGGTCAGAAATTTTAAAGTGTGGAAAAGACACTATTTTCCAGAAAGTATTTAAATGTAATTAAATATAAATATTTATTATCATTAGGAATCTGTAAACTGCAAATCTGATAGTAATGTATAATTTAAGAAACGATTAAAATATACAATTATTTTTAATGTAACATCTCCACTGCTTTTCTCACTTAACAGACATTAAATGGATCAAAGGTTAATTGATTCGGTAGGCATTCTCTCTTAACTAATTTGTAAATTACTTGTTACAATTACATCGGAATATAAGTTATTTACTGAAATGTCATTCATGAATAATGAAGTTATTTATTAGACATACAATTAAATATTATTAGAAGAATAAATTCAGGAATTTCAATCTGTTTCATACATAACAAAATTTAATAATTTCTTTACGCAGATTTGTGTTATTTTGTGAAATATTTTCCTTCCTTACTATGTTAAAACGTAGTTACTTTCTCTTACATCCAACTGGCGGGGGAGTTACACCACGTCTGTCAGCTTTTTACAATATTATGTAAATCGTAATCAACAGGTTGTTTGCCAACTCTAGCAAGAAACAGACCTGCTTCAAATTATATACGGAGACATGTTTTCGCAATGTTTCGCTCATGATCTATATAACATATTATGCATGAGGTCAAATTTCAGAAAAATAGTAAAAATTAAAATACAATACATACATATACCCAAATAATTCTTAATTAAGAGAGAAGAGTAAATCAGTGGTAACGGCACCGACTTCCTAAACGCAAGGTCTGATGGCGAGTAATTATTTGTTCAGTTTCATCAACAGTTGATAAACCCTGGGGTCAGAAGACTCTTCTGAGGCACACTTAGCCTCTCCAAATTGAATAATAAATTAAGGAGGAAACCCATGAAACGGTTGAGTATGAATCCGGCCCGATCACCTTTCTGCACAATCTAGAAACAGTACTTTCTTATATAGTACTCAATTCAAGACCCTTCATAGATTGTAGTGGCACAAGATTTTCTTTTTTAATTCTTTAATTAGGGAAATAATAAACTTACGGTAAAATAAAGATATATCAGTAATCTCCATATGGTACTAGCCAACTGCTGCATTTTGGGAAATGGATTTAAAGTCCCAGGATAGTAAAAATATTTTCATTTCATTTCACTTTTAGCCATATGGGCTAAAGGGTCAACTCTTTAGCCCATATGGCTAAAAGTGAAATGAAATGAAAATATTTTTACTATCCTGGGACTGTTGTTCTTTTAGAACAAAATATAAATACTGAGAATGTGCCTTTGTGGCCATACATTAAATTAAATATTGAGAAAATAATATCTAATTAAAAATAAAAATAAAAGAAGAAAAAAGAACCAAACAACAGCATATATGTATATATATATATATATATATATATATATATATATATATATATATATATATGTGTGTGTGTGTGTGTGTGTGTATATATAGACTAATCAAAGGAAAATAAAATAACATAAGTAAACAACATGGTTTCTGGGGGATCTTAAGAAGTTCTCTTACGTACATTTCGTGATCAGTCGGATTGGAAAAGGAATAAGTACTTAAAAAGGAGAAATTTAAATGAGAAAACTGATTGTGCATATCGGATATCGGAAGGGATAGAATTTCAAAAGTGGAGCAAACGTTTCATCAGCCTTCGAAAAGATTGTGGGTCGATTAGGTCGATTAGATTGAGGGATGTTGGCTGAGAAGGGTAAAATGGTAAAAGGGGAAAAGAAAAGAGTGTAAACTGGCAGAAGTGAAAAATATTTATTGTAATAATTAGTTCACTAGTTTCGAAATAACTTGGAGAGAAGATGTTATATTGTACCGATTTAGGATTAGATATTGTCAGTTTAAACATGGCTTCCTTCTAAAAGTACGTTCCACATTTCAGACATTTCACAAACTATGGAAAACACAAATGTTTAAATGTTCTTTTTCCGATTCTGTTTTTTTTTTTCTCTCTCGTCTGCTGTCGGTAACAAGAGAAATATAAACAAAAGTGGGGCATATTTTCTTTTAGTTTGTGAAATGTCTAAACGCACATTTAGAGACTTCTAAGAGTCTACATACGAAAAATGAAACGTCTAACGAAAGAATATCCCAATTGATAAATGCAGAAAAAGAAAATTATATCAGAAGCATTGATAGAAATTCTGGAGGATAATGGAGAACTAGTCTCTACACTCAATACATTCCTGAAGATCATAAATTTAAAAAATGTGAAGACTATATCTTGACAACGCTGAATGATTTTCCTTATTCATATAAGGAATTTTCATCTAAGGAAACATTTTACTAAGATATCCACATTACGCCTTTTTATGTAATCGATAATTTAGTTATTTATGATTACTGCATCACATACTGTTATCGAATATATTTTGCAAATGAATAGTCGAATGATGCAGTTAAGATAAATTTTATCTTATAACATTTCAAGATTCACGATTCCAACTACACTGCTCCGATCACAAGTACTGTAATTAACTTTTTTTTTTTATTATCGAAATGAAAAACGGCACATAAAAGGGTATTGTTTCGAAAGCTATCGATAAAATGAACGGAATTCCTGAGATAGATAAAGGGATTACCTCGTTCTTTGCTTGGCCTATCAGCCCACTATCAGAAGAGCACTCCAAATATTCGACTACCTGACCCTACACGAAAAAATGTTTCATGACGTATAGATCTTAATGATAATGTAGTCTCTTATTAAATATATATATATATATATATATATATATATATATATATATATATATATATATATATATATATATATATATATATATATATATATATATATATATATATACAACTTTTCCTTCATCGACCTTTGAGTATTAAATTCAAACTTCACTATTTTATTGGGAATAAGGTCATTTAATTATTATTCAATAAACTAATTAATGTTCATTTCTTCTGTTTATTGACGTTTCGATCCCGGTATTTTCTTTTTATTAGTCAACCATGGGATCCTCTTCAAAGCTAGAACTACAAATAACTCAATCGATACACAATATTACTTCCATATGACTTTAATAACAATTATTTCAAAATGTTTAACCTACTTTAAAAAATATAGAGCTTCGATCAGGCCAGGGACACACCGACAGCCTCAGCACCGTCCACTAGCACATATATTAAGCTACTGGATCGCTAAGCGTCTGAGCTCCCCGGTCCTGAGCCCGAAGACAAATTATTACACAATAAACAATGAAAAATCGC